CATCAGCTAGCCATACCCTTACTGGGATTTGAACCTGTGCTGTATTACATATTAGGCAGTTGTGTTAGCCACTAAGCTAGCCACTATATTTGGGCATACCAGGGGTTGTGACACAATACATATATACATATACTACTGTAATTATAATGCATATGTATGTATGTATGTATGTATGTATGTATGTATTACATATTAGGCAGTTGTGTTAGCCACTAAGCTAGCCACTATATTTGGGCATACCAGGGGTTGTGACACAATACATATATACATATACTACTGTAATTATAATGCATATGTATGTATGTATGTATGTATGTATGTACGTATTACATATTAGGCAGTTGTGTGAGCCCCTAAGCTAGCCACTATATTTGGGCATACCAGGGGTTGTGACACAATACATATATACATATACTACTGTAATTATAATGCATATGTATGTATGTATGTATGTATGTATGCTGTATTACATATTAGGCAGTTGTGTTAGCCACTAAGCTAGCCACTATATTTGGGCATACCAGGGGTTGTGACACAATACATATATACATATACTACTGTAATTATAATGCATATGTATGTATGTATGTATGTATGTATGTATGTATGTATTACATATTATATTATATTCATTATAAGCCAGCCATGCTAAATAGACAGACTTAAAAAAAAGACCAAAAAAAATCTGGGACAAAGAGATTTCTAAACAGTTTGGTGGTATTAATAGTCTCTCTCAGAAAAGGGCATCTGATCTTGCTGACTTAATAATTAAAAGCTGGCTGGGGAATTCTGGGAGTTGAAGTCCAAACATCTTCAAGCAACCAAGGCTGAGAGAGGCACGGCATTAAATCTGATTTCTGAATTGTCCTTTAATATAATTAATAAAAGATCCTCTCCCTTACCAAGACGCTATGATGTTTTAGGCGATGGGTGTTGTAGTCAACAGCATGAGAACATTAAGTAGAACAAGGTTTTTTTTTTTCCAGGGTGAAACGAGGGTGTAAAAACCAATATAATGTAATTGAGAAATCTCTATTATTTTATATTTTAACCTTTTATACTAGTACTGGCTTACGGTGGCTTTCCCCAAACCAAACTATGCAAAGATTCTGCTCAGAAGGTCCCAATCTTGTATAAATCCGTCATTTTCCATTTCATTCTCCTGCAAGGTGAATTGTGTGAAGTGATTTAGCCCCATAGCTCTTGAGGAAGTAACTGTAGAGATTGGATTTGTGTATTGTTTCTGATCCTGTTTTGCCCTTTTTCTCCCCCTCTTTTGATCCTCACTTTAAGACCGCAATGGAAGATGTGAGCTCCAAAAGGGTCAGCGACTTCTTGCAGAAATGCGTCAAGCTTGAGGACGACGGGGAGCCTCCCTCCAAGGAGATCTTGGAAGTTCAAAGTCTCCCTCTACTCAGTGCTCCATCCTATCCTCAGACAGTGCAAGGTATGAGAGTTTCCCCAGGAATTGTGCACCCTAGAACAGTGTTTTTTCCAACCTTAGGACTTCAACTCCCAGGCAGCAACTCTGGGTGTTGCTCTCTTTAAGTAGATTTATTTATGTATTTCTCTATTGATTGATTAGGGTTTTTTCCCCTACCTTTACTACTTTATAAATAAGTCAAGGTGGCAAACATACCTGATACTCTTTCCCCCTCCTCCTTTTGCCACGATAATTCTATGAGATTAGTTGAGCTGGGAGAGAGAGAGAAGAGAGTGAATGGTCCAGTCACCCAGCCGACTTTCATGCCTAAAGAGGGACTAGAACTCCCCATCTCCTGGTGATTGGTCCAAAGTCACCCAGCCGGCTTTCATGTTTAAGGCAGGACTAGAACTCACCATCTCCTGGTGATTTGCCAAAGTCACCCAGCCGGTTTTCATGGCAAAAGTGGCACTAGAACTCACCATCTCCTGGTGATTGGTCCAAAGTCACCCAGCCGGCTTTCATGTTTAAGGCAGGACTAGAACTCACCATCTCCTGGTGATTGGTCCAAAGTCACCCAGCCGGCTTTCATGTTTAAGGCAGGGCTAGAACTCACCATCTCCTGGGGATTGATCCAAAGTCACCCAGCTGGCTCTCATGCCTAAAGTGGGACTGGAACTCCCAGTCTCCTGGCGATTGACCCAAAGTCACCCAGCGGGCTTTCATGCCTAAGGCAGAGTAGTGATTTCTAGGCCAGCCCCTTAACCACTAAACCAACACCCTGGTCATTTGTAAAGGACAAGAGTGATTGTATCGTAGAAACTGGGAAGGGACCTAAAATAAGAATTGTCGTGAGGTCCAAGTAGCCGTATAATGAAAAGTGACGTCAGCCTTGGACGATGGGGCTCCCATCCCAGCTCCCCCCTTCCCAACCCTTTGATATGTGGCCCATTCAACTATGTTGAACCGCCAATGTTGGGGTTACTATGTCCTCTCCCCTTCCATTTTGACAGAGGAGATTTCAATGGTTTTCAATACTTGTGCAGTGCCAGCCAATCTGGGCCCCTGTGCCAGGAGGCGGCGCGAGAAAGGCCACGACGGGACCAGCACGTCTCTCTACGTCGACCGCCGGAAGTCCAAAGTGTGGAACTACTACACCAAGCTGGGCGACGCCTACGTGGAGTGCAACGTCTGCAAGAAGCAGCTCTCCTTCCACAACAGCACTACCACCATGCGGGAGCACCTGGTGCGTAAGCACAGCATCCGCGACACCCTCCTCTCGCAGCTGAAGGACGACCAGGTGCCGGAGCCGGAGTACGTGGCTCAGGAGAATGCCATCAAGCGATTCCGCCAGCTGACCCCCGAGAACAACAATCCCTACCACGCGGGGGTGACCTGCGCGGAACCCAGGACGGACGTGATTCTGGAGCTGGTGCTAGAGATGATCTTCCGGGACCTGCATCCCCTGTCTGTGGTGAAGGACAAAGGTTTCGGCCTCCTCATTGGCTACTTAGAACCGACCTTCGTGCTCCCGTCCCCTGTGCAGCTCTCGAGCATGCTGTGGCATCGATACAACGTCGTCAAGCAGCACCTAGAACACTACTTGCAGACGGCTCAGTCAATTGTCCTCTGCGCCGAGTTCTGGCTGTCTCACCCCAACCAGAGGTACCTGACCATCGTGACGAATTTTATCGATGGAGAGTGGCGGCGGGCCAGGTGCATCCTAGAAACCCAGCAGGTGCACGAGAAGAAAGCGGAGAGCAACCTGGGAGAGCGGCTGTACGCGGTCCTCACAGACTTCGGCTTGTCCAACAAATCGGTCTTCTGCATGATGCACGAGAGCCTGCAGGGTCTGGAGGCCCACGCGTCCCAGCTGAAATGCGTCTACGGCTGGACCAGTCTGTGCTGCGCGGCTCACCTGCTGCACCTTTGCGTCAAGGCCGGCCTCGAGGCGGAGCAGGTGCAGGAAGCCCTGACCGCGGCTCGGAGCGTCGTCCGTTACTTCCAGCAGGACGCCAAGGCGACTTGCTCCCTCAACAGCAAACTGGAAGCCATCAACAAGACCAAGCTGAAGTTGGTGACGGACACCGGGGCTCGGTGGATAACCACCATCGAGATGTGCGAGTGCCTGCTGGACCTCAAGTGGGCCGTCATGTCCGTTTTGGAGGAGCACCCCAAGGGGCCGTCAGCGGTCCAGAATTTGGCCGACCACCAGTGGAAGCTTTTGCAGGACCTGGTGCCCGTGATGAGGACGCTTAAGATCGCCACGTCCTTCTTGCGAGAAGAGCAGAACTTCTCCATCTCCTCCCTGATGCCTTGCATCCACGGCATCGTCACCGCCATTGGGCAGCAGTCCGAAGAAGCCAGCGATGTCATCAAAACCGTGGTCAACAACATCAGGGGGGAGCTCACCCAGCGTTGGGGTATTCTGGAGGAGAGTAAGTTGCTGGAGAGCCCGGCGGTAATCGCCTCGTTCCTAGACCCTCGGTTCAAGGAGATGAGGTTCCTCAGCCCAGGTCTACGGAGCGAGTTGCACAAGAAGGTCAAGGCCATGTTGTCCCAGTTCTTCAACCCTCAGACCCCGCCGACCAACCCCTTCTGGGTGCCCAACGCGGACTACAAAGCAGAGGGGAGCGAATCCTCCGGCCAGCTGTCTGCTCCTAAGGACCGAGGTTCAAGCGGACAACCTCAGAGTATGTACGACATCCTTCTGGGGAAAGACCCAACGGAGAGCATGCCCGAGATCCATCAACAGCTGGAGAACTACATCGTGGAGCCTCTTTGCAAGCGTAGCACTAACCCCTTGGACTGGTGGAAGAGCAACGAACACCGGTTCCCTTCGGTGGCTCGGTTAGCCCGGCAATATTTGGCTATACCGGTGACGGTCGTGCCGCCGGACCAGGCCTTTGCTGTGGGCGAAAGTGCGCTGGAGCACCGGAGAGGCGTGCTGGCTCCCGAAAACCTGGACCAAATTCTTTTCTTGCACCAAAATTTCGACTTTTTAGAATCGATGCGAAACCCGAACGAGAATCTGACGAAGTCTGGGCACAGCCAGTATTGAATGATTTAAAAAAAACAAAACCAGGCGTGGGAAGAGCATAGAAATCAGCGTATCCTGATGCAGACAATACGCCGGGAAGGGAAGGAGGGAGGAAGAGGACGATCAGGTTTTTTGGGGGGGCGGGGGAAGGATTAAAATATGATTTTCAAGTCACTTTAGTCAAACTGGAATCGGGGATGAGCTCATCCTTCGGTTTAAAAACCAGTTTGCCTCCTGCCTAAGCTTTCCCTACAGTGTTTCTCAACCTTGGCAACTTTAAGTCCTGTGGACTTCAACTCCCAGAATCCCCCAGCCAGCTGCTGGCTGGGGGATTCTGGGAGTTGAAGTCCACAGGACTTAAAGTTGCCAAGGTTGAGAAACAAACAACCGGTGTAATTTGTCCCGTAAATAAGATTAGCTTTTGGTTCTTATTTTTTTTAAATGAGACAGAGGTAGTCCTCAACTTACAACAG